GGTTAATAAATTCGGATGAATAAGTGGTAAAGAGAAATATTCATTGTGCTCAAGGAATGTACAAAGATGAGAAATGCATGCCGGAAAAATAATAAAGCTGAAGATCCTAGAAAGACAGTGATAATGAATATTATCTTCCCTTATAAGATAGCGATTTACAATACAATATTATGACAAAAAAACAAATGATATAATTGCATCCCTTAGGTAGAACTAGAATGTAAATTCTCAAAGTATCTGAAAACACACTAGCACACTAAACACAAGATTAAGGCTCAAAGCTTTAGTATTGTAAAGGAGATTAGAACAACACATAAACAGAGAGGTGAAAACAATAAAAACATAAAACAAAAGAAAAACTTGTCAACAAGAGTATGCAAACATCTATGAAGAGTTTCAACTCAGATTTGTAAGAAGCATGTCGTTCCAGCTTGTCGGTGTCAATCATGGATACATAGCTATTGTGGATTTCCTATCTTACAAAAATTGACATTTACACATAATGCAGAGGACAGAATCAAAAAAATATTCCCATGAAGCCACATATCAGTTAGGGGGATAAATAGAGTCTTGGTTCTTGAAAAATCAAGATGGCCAACACAAAAAATCCAAACACCAAATAGAGAACCACTTATGCAACAACCAGTTAATTTTCAACTTCATTAGAATCAAAGAGAAGGAAAATTACTAACTCATGCTTTCCAATGGCATCTTGAAGATAAGCAACCATCAACGGGTACCGGACACCAATTTTCTGCAATTAGCACACACAACATGCACAGAGAATAGTTATCTGGTGAAAGCATAGGAAACAGAGCAGAGGTGGATAAGGTGCAACACTTAAATTTAATAGAAAACCATAAAAGCATATTGAAGGGACTGTAAAGAGACTAGTCACCTTGTGCTCTTCTAGGATTTCTTCTACATCTTTCAACTTGCATCTTTTCGATCTTCTGGGTCCTGGAGACATGAGGGTGGCTTTTCTCAGCCAGCTTGATCCCCTATTTAACACTTCAGCAAAATTACTATCCAAGAAAGTGGTAGGAAGATGATAGGAATCATCAAGCAAGCTATCAACCTCCTGAACAACCATAAACCGGAAGTTAGTTTTCTGCATACCAGTTTAATCTGCAGTGTTGTACAACTACAAGCAGCATAGGCCTTTAATTTGGAAAAAATAATTTAGAAACATAATAGCATTGCATAATAGCTTTAGACATGGACTGATAACTCTCATCATAAATCCATCTGTTGAAATAAGAGCATATTTAAGTCTCGAGAGACAAGCAATGCAGTGAAGTAAAACTTAAAAAGGCAATGACTACAGCAGCACCGAACTATTTAAAGATTACCTAATGCGAGTGTATCCTATGAACGAACGTTTTTACAGAACAGCAGGCATAAATAAAATAAAAGAATGGTTACCTCATAGGAAGGGATCCTGGAACAAAAGGATAGAGCTTTCAAGCTCCAGTGCAGTATTAAAGATGCACGACGAAGATTGGGCAACCCACTCAACTCAAGACCGAGCAATCTCCCAGTTTCAATAGCAGAGTCAATCTTAGTAAGCAATTCCTCCACTTTTACTGAAAAGAGGCTGTCAATTGAAATATCACTATTGTAGGAGTATATGAGAGCTTTTGAATCCTCTAGTAGAGAATGTGCGACATTCTCCCATTTATTAACATCATCCAAAATGCTCTGAAGCTTTTCTAAGCCATCTACAGCAACTTTCATATGTTTGGATTCCGTAATCAGCTCCTGCAAACGTTTTTGGAACTCAATTACCACCACAATTCTTGACCAAGACACAGATCTATGAGATATAAATATGAACCTTCAGGGCATCGATGGTAAGAGCAGAAACCGATGAATCACCAACAGCTGTTAAATATGGCTGGGATCTACTAATCCAAGATTGACCAATGGATATCGCATCCTTGATATTAGGGAGAGAAGGAAGGATAACAAATATATTCTCTGAAGACCTACATGTTCAAATTTTTATTATAGATAAAGCAACATGAATAATGCACAGATAAAATTTTGTGAGGAAGGATGGGGGGAGAACCAGAGAGCTCTATACCTTGAAACTTCCTCAAACTCAGACATGGAAGATCGACACTCAAGCACGAATTTAGCTCTTTCCTCCCAAGAAACAGCAGCAGCTATAACTCTTGAAATCTCCAGAAAACGTTTTTCATTCTTGATTTCAAATCTAGAAAATTGTTATACTCAGGTATCAAAATCCCCAGCCTATGTTCTCGAAGAGAAAAAACGGAAAAACAGTACGGTAATCGGACAAAAGATACATACAGAGAAGCCTCTGACAGCAGTTGCTGAAGAAAATCCAGGGGCATTTGCGTTGAAACTGCCTGCATTAACATTACATGCATTAGAAAATTTCCCAAAAAAAGTGAGCATGCAAGGACAGCAAAAGCTACTCAAAAAATTGGCATCCAGAACAACAACAGAGCCTCCATATACAACTATTGTGGCCACCTACCTGAATTCTTTTTCCTATTCAACTAGGTCAAGGGCCATATCCTTCATCAAGTTAATAACTAGCATCTTCATTTTAAGTGTCTCAATCCATGCTCGTTTAAGGCCAGTCCTTATCCTTCTAACTCCATTAGAAACAATTCCACCGATCCTCCTAATGGGCACACTTACCAAACTCAGTGGCACATGTCAAACTGTATAAACTGATTCTAGCTATCAAGTGAAGCAAACTCTAACGCCTCGTTTGGTACGCGGTGCTGAGTGGGAATAGAATGCAATTTTAACTTCTCATTCATGCTTACCAAACATAATGAGTTTTTGGGTGCTAGAAATGGCATTCTCACTTTTCATCAATTCTCCCTTAATGTGGGAATTGCTATTCCCAATGAGTTATTAAGGAATTGACATTCTCAGTTAAGTGTTCTCACTTAAGTGAGAATGAAAATAACAAAATAAATTCTGGGTATACCCTTTTTAAAGATATTCTCACTTAATTCTCTAATCGCACCCAAACCAAACATGAGAATGGGAATAAGCATTCCATTCCCACATCAATTCCATTCCATTCCTACAATCATTCTATTCTCACTTGATTCTATTCCCGCGTACCAAACGGGGTGTAACATCTTACTTATGTACTATGATAGCATCTGTAATTCCCAAATGAAAACCCCTCAATTCCAAATGATAGTATTCTCAAAGACTACTTCTAAGAGATGAGAAAACAAGTTAACAAAATTAAAGCACAAGGCAATAGCAACAGACGCCAAGAATTAACACTGAGATTCAAAAGAAGAAGGGAAGGCTTCTGCACTAAAAAAACAAGAGATGTAGGACAAGGCAGTAACAATATCAACTAGGTGAAATCACATCGAGTCTAGATTCCATCATTTTTTTCTTCTATTCGAAAAGCTGATTAGATATTAAAAAATAATAATTTGGATAAGCCAATGCTTAAAACAATGTAGTTGCACAACAAGAAAAGAAAGGAAAAATGACAGGAGAAAATACCTTTGAAGCTTTCAGTCTGCAACTGAATTTGTTTAGTTCTGCCTCAACAACGGGCAGTTCATCAACTGGTCAACACATACAGTATTTAGTATGTGAAAGTTATAACAATTAACCTGTTCTAAACGGGAACATATGACTATGAAAGAAAGATTACCTTGAACTCTCAGTGATTTTCCAGCCTCTAAGATGCAACTGAGTTCTCTAACTACATTATCATGGTCCTCGCGTTCATTAAGATTTGATAGAACATCATTAAGATGGCAAATCCAGGTACAAGCATCTGCATGATACTGCCTCAGAAGCTCCAACTCTGGAATTGTAACTCTGACATCATCAGTATCCTGCAAAAAATCTTGAAGATCCTGTATGAAGAAATGATAGGAAGAGGTTACTACATAGAAAATTTACTGCAACAAGAAAAGTTAGAAGATTAACAACCTTTAGTTTGGCGGAACCTTTCAAGAATTCACTACATCGAGTTTGCCATGAATTGACCTCCCTGCACAATTTCAATATTGAATCCATATCTGGAAGCCGAACTCGCAGCTCTGCCATCTAATAAAGGTCAATATTATGAGAGGAGGATCCAAGTAAAAGTTTTCCACAAAATAATGAACATTCTCAAACAAAACAAAGAGAATATGGATAAAAGAAAAGGAAAATCCTTAATTAATAACGTCATATCTTAAAACAATTGCCTACCTCTGATTTTACCTTGTTGAGAAAATCAATACCAACAGCAGCAACTTTCCCTCCGGAAAGGCATTTAGCTGCATCACTTATCCAAACCTACATAATCATAGAATACTAAAGTGATGCAGAAAAGTAGACATAGGTAATGGGACATATATAATGTTTACAATGAGAAGAAAAAGATAAGCATATGCCTGAAAAGGTTCTGCAGTGTGCTAGGTTTCTGATTACTAATGTTATAAATCTGTAATTGAGGAAGCTCAGACACCTTACCAATGTCATATATATTAAGAGGGTGTTAAGGAGAGCTAAATTTTTTGGTCAAGCTAGCTTTTAAGCTAGCTTTTTCATAGATTACTATTTGATAAATCACCAATAAGCTGGATTATAAAACCCATTTAAAAATAAGTTGGGATTCCCCAACTTTTAAAAAACTACCTTATAAACTCATATAAATAAGCTAGGCTTGACCAATTAAATGGCCATTTTACCCATACAACTTTTATAAAAAAATTGTCATAAAATCCAAAAGCCACCAAAAGCTAGCATGACTCATACACTCCTAAATATAAGCCCTCCCAAACACCATCTAAAGCAAAATGATGGCCAATATTGTTGCATCTACAATGTCTGATTTGCAGCCAATTTTTACGAATTATTGTGGCTATAATTGCATAAGTGAATGAGCGGTCATTTTCTACAACATCAGCAGTAAAATTTATGGGTACCACCTCTCTCAGTGTCAAACCACGTCAACGTCCCCCGATCACATCAAAATTCAAAAGTTAGAAGAAAAAATGTTCCTTCTACAACCCATCTTCTCTCTCGATCACACTCCATCCCCCCCCCTCCTAACTAGTAATCTTTTTTTTCTTCTTCCTCCTCTTTTTTTCTTTAATCATAATTGCTCTGAATCCAAAATCAAAGAAGAAAATTTCAAAAAAAAACTCATTTAACTCCGAGTAGCCTTCAACTCCAGCAATTTAACTTATCACGAGTTGTGCATCGAGATCATGCCCGATGCGGCCGAGTGTAAGTCCATAGGTGATGGATGCAATTGTATCGCTGATTGGGCCCAATATTCTCTCTATTCTAATCCGTTTTAATCTAATGTAGAATACAAACCCAAAAAATCTCTTTTTTCTCAAATTGATCTTCAATTGCTTTTAAATGAAGAGATGATATCTTTTCCTTTTACTTTTGAAATTGATGCGATCTTTTCTTTTTTGTTTCAGATAGAACCTCTGATGATAAAGGGAAGCCCAAATCCTCACTATTCTAATGGTACAAATTTAGAAATCCAAAATTCTCTTTTTTTATTTTGTCTTTGGAAGTTTGTAGGAACCGAAAGTCGCCACCGCTGTAGACTATGAATTTGATTTGTGGAGGGAAAGTTTAAGAGATTGCAATGATGGACAAATTTTGGTTCAAATAGGCTTCAAGAACAACTTCAAACTTCAAAGTGCTTATTACTGTAGCATCTACTAATAATGACAAAACTCCCGATGAAGAGCTGGAGTTGGAAGCAAAAGATTAAAGTGAGTTTCTTTTTACCAATGAGATACTAGGTTTTTGGGAATTTCTTGATTTTTGAGTGGTTTATTAAGAATTGGACTTTCTTGGTTTGCATAGGAATAAGGTCCTCTGTGTTAGATGATTAGCAACTAGTGGATGCTTATAATGATGCGAAGTTTTATCAGATTTGTTAAGTCTCAATTAGATTTTTGAAATTGTTGGAATTTTTAAACAAAGGACATTGATTTATACAACTCTATGTCTATGTTCTACTTTATTACTTAGCCAGACATTGAAGCTCATCTTTGCAACTCCATTTAACATTGTGATTCTTTAAACAGAAATATCATTGAGTTCTTAACAGTGCATCTATTTGAAAGCTTTTTGATAAATGTTTTTGATAGGTAAAATTAGGCTCTATTGCTTCCTAAATCTAACTCATTATAGATTATTAATTCTTCTTTGTTTATAATATCAAAATGACAAAATCGTATTTGTCTCATTGAATCAAGAAAATATAAAAATAATAAAATAAATAAATTTGTGGATTATCCATTTACAATTTCATAAAACGTTTTCTAATCTTGATGGCTTCATATGAACACTTAATCAGATGGACCACTAATTACTACATTACAAGTTTTATTAATTGTTTTTATAATGATCTAATGATAATAGAATATTGAATATAATTAACTATAAAATACAATGTTAAGTAATAGGAGTTTAATAATGACATTTGAGAAACTATTTTGATTGTGAAACATTAGAAATTTGTGATTTATTAAATGTTGTTTTATCAAATCTTGTTTGATAATTTCTTAACAGCTATTATAAAATTGACCAAAATTCCTGTGTGTACACTCATGGAGATTCAGGGACTAATAAGCGGAAAATCTAAATATAGCACCAATTATGCCAAAATGCTAGCAAAGCTAAAAAAGAAATGCAACTACTTGGCCACATCATTTCTGATCCTAATGAGGGTCAAGAGAACCCTGCTATTTTTTCTTTCCTTACATGAATCAATCATCCCCATTCCTCATGCAAAATCTGTTAGTAACAATCACAATTCTTCTGCTACCTTATGTGAAATAGCTATCTTCAACACCTTGCTATTTTTTCCCTAGGATACTTTTACTCAAAAATAATATTTTAGTGAATTTTACTCTAAAAAAAAGTTTATCCCTCCAACTTGACAAGGTCATGCATCTATAATGTTTGCTAAAAAGATACATGCTAGGAACAACTTCTGATAAGCAGTATAAGAGGGGTAAATGATTGCATTGTGGTCTTTTCTTTTTCACTCAAAAGCATGACAATATCACACAAGATAAATATGATGAGCAGTAACTAGAGTGAAAACAAGCAGATGGGACGAAGGGCCGCAATATTAACTACATTAAGTTGTAGCTTGTTATATATCTATTTGAAGATGTTTGATAGACTATAGTGCACTATGCACATGAATCATTATAGCGCGAAAACAAGCAGGTGGAACGACGGGCCTCAATATAACTACATTAAGTTGTAGTTTGTTATATATCTATTTGAAAATGTTTGATAGACTATAGTGCATTGTGCACATGAATCACTACAGTTTTTCATATATTTCTCAAGAAAAGAATTCAAGTCATGATGTACTTGTAAAGATTACAAAAAATAAAATAAAATACTAGCAGGATATAATATATAAGGTTTGATGATTATGAGGTGGTGGCATCATTTAAAAAAATGAGCTACCAAGATATAGAGTTGGTGAGACCCACACATTTTGATGTGACAATTAGATAAGCCGCTCATTTTACTAAATAAGCACCATCTCATACCCAATATTTCCTAATACATATAGGAAAAATGAATTTGTTGTGACTTCTCATCTTGCTAAATGAGCTACCAGGAGATGGACTAGTCACCAGGCCCACCTAACTAGTCATGTCAAATCGTCACTTCTTTCTTTAAGTTGTTTAGCTACATAAGCTGTCAGCTCATAACAAGTATACCTTATAAATAATTCATCTCTATATATGCCTTAGCTTGTTAGATATCAGCCATACCAATTCACTTTATGATATTTGATCATCCTAGATCTTAAAGAGACATAGGTATAGGTCATATTGGCTATCATCCACTAGATTGTTATCTATGTATGCTTTAAGGCTTATATTCAATTGATCAAATAGTTCAAGTCTATTTTATACTAACACAAGATTTAAGTGAAATATTTGAAAGGTTCTGGGTCTATGTTCAAGACTTATAGTTCTTTTGGCTAGGCAAGATTTAGAGAAGATGGCTACAAAATATTGATAATGAAGAGTATACAGTTTGGTTGCACTTGCCAAGCAAGATAAGTCATGAACTTTGAAAAACCTTATAATAATGTTATAGAACAGAGGTAAACCTTTTATATCTCCCCAGAGCAAACTTACCAATCTCCAATTCTAGACTTTTTCTAGTTTGCGAAACTTGGGGAAGCTTAAGCTTCATTACCATAAGGATCTCTATGCCTCCTTTTCACAATTTCCTCGATATAGAATTTTGGAGCATTCTCAAAAAGATTGACATCAGATGGACATCATTAACTATTATCATCACTGAAATAATTATTCTTAAGCTATATGGAAGTTAGAATGATATAGTATTCTTCCTCAGCTTCTATCAGCCCCAATAGTTGGCGTATTGGATTTCAAGCTCGTTTTACAAATACCATGGGCTAAACGGAAGTCATATCAGGTAGCAAAAATCAAACTTCAAATTCTATCATAACACAAGCCCATCTTTATGACACAAACTGCTGGTCAAAAAAACAAAAATTTCTTGTTGATGTTGCGACCTTTCAGAAGATGTCATTCATGCAACCAGTTTTGCTCTTCTGATGCATCTTCTACACTATTTTGATGCAGCTGGTCTCTTGTATCCCTTCTATCAAATTAGAATAAGAGCTTTCCCAACAATAATTAAGTCATTTGTGTTGTTACTTCTAAGTTATTGCATTACTGATCGTCAATGCTGCCATCGATTCCCAACAAACTGAATATTCTGGGGCTTATTTAATACCTTTGATCAAAACACCAAATTTTTTATACCTTCAGTGGTTCCTGATATGCTTCCTAATTCTTATCAGTCAACTTCTTACCATAAAGTTCTAACTTAATGTGTGATATCTTTTGGTTTAGCCAACTGATTTAGGAAATCGGGTAGGATTGAAATTGTATAAGTAATTTGCTCCTATCATCAATTTGTTATATAAAAATTTCTTAATGCTTTTAAACTAATTCAAATTGATAATGAAATATTTCTATAATCTAGTTCCAAACAGTACAAGCTTAAAGATTTATTGTCACATACCAACCCCATCCAATTCTCATACATATGGAAATCTTGATTCAAATTCTTCAATGTTGGATTTAGGATGTTCTTTTTTCTTTTTCTTTTTCTTTTTTTTTTGCATTTATTGTGATTTTTTTCACGAAAATCATAAATGGAATTTGTAATTAGTCTTCTCATTTCTCAGAATTACTTTTTTTCAAAAGAAATAAAATCTGCTACTATCATTAGTATGTTTTGTAAAACTTTCTTGATGTATTTACACTAATTCGAGTTGATAATGAAATATTTCTATAATCTAACTTCTGAATAGAACAAGTTCAAGATTTCCTGTCACAAATTTGGTTGTGTCAAATTCAACTTGATTGACACATTGCTCATACTAATCAATGCCACAATACTTGCTTAAAAGATCTTTAAATCCTTTCTTGATTCCAGTAAAAGAACCTTTTTGTCTAATACACTACTAAATTTAAAATATAATTCAACTTTCTAATATATTTTTTATGTATTGTATACATGTAGTGTGTTAAACCCAAACTTGAGTTAGGGAAATGGTAGCTAGGGGTGGAATTCGGGTGAATTTTAGATATTCAAATTCAAATTAGGGGCGAATATTGGCAATGATATTCAAATTCGATTCGTCTATATATAATATGATCGATAACTATTTGTAGAAATTCGTTAGCCCACTTGGTTAAGGTTTTGAACTTCAAAAGTTCAGATCCGTGGGTCGAATCTGGGCTTCACAAACTTTTTTTTTGTCATTCATTATTCTTTGGAGCATTTACTATACAACCTCTAAATTGTACATATTTACAAATATGCTCTTCAAAAAAATCATAGCTAATGATTTTCCCTCTAAATTGCATCTTCCATTCAAGTTTACATCTTAATTTAGATTAATTAAATTTTTTAAAATAACTAATATACTAGTTAATAAATATAAAATATAAACGAATATTTAATGATCAAGTGAATCGAATATACATTTGGTTAAATTCTATTCGTTTATTAATCGAACACTAAAGATTATTCTATTACTGTTAAATGAAGTATCGAATCGAATATGGCCGAATATCTGGACGAATAATAGTCAAACTGTTTATTAATTATTTGATTCACTTCCCCCCCTAATGGTAGCTTTTTAGCATAACTACATACCTATTTCAAACTTACTACTCAAGTAAAACTCATTCACAAAAAAACAATACAAATATCATTAAAAGTTGAAGAAGACATTGAAATATA